CGGGGCCGGTCCTCGAAACCAGTAGCGGCGGCTTCGGAGAGGGGGGAGGGGGGGGGAAATCTCCCAAAGAGGCGCCACAGGAGGAATGTGCACCACTGCCGTCCACGAGGGGGGGGAGGGAGTTCCGCCCCTTCTCCGCCGCCTCCTCCTGTCCCTTACTCCCTCTCCTTCTCTGTCTCAGTACTCCCCTCGTCGTCCCCTCCTCCTTCGCCTCTCCCCTCCTCGTCGCTCCCTCCTCCTTCGCCTTTCCCCTTCCTTTCCGCGCCCCCCCCCAAAAAACGCCACCCCAGAATCACCCGTACTGGCCACTTGAGGTTTCTTGGGCCGTCTTAGGGGTTTCTTGGCCTTTCCTCTGACGCCGTCGGATACCGTCTTGGTTGGGGGCATGTCTGGCCCTCTTGGCGCCCTCTTGGGGACCTTTACGACCCTCTCGGTAGACTCCCGCGCGATCTTTGGGCCCTCTGGGGCCGATTCGGGGCCTTCTTGGGGTGCGTCCTGGGCTATATTGGAGCTATCTTGAGAGCCTCTTGGATGCCTCTTGGGCCGTCTTGGGCGGTCGAAGCTCCAGACAGGCGAGAGCCTCAACATCTATCAATTATCCGGGCGAAGGGCAACCACATGCACTTGTGGGTGCCGCGTTGTGGCACCGCTTTCGGTGGAGCTCCCTATGAGGCCACGAGGCGTGCTAGGAGTGTGCCGAAATGGGCGGGGAACCGCATGCGAACCCCGCCACTGATGCAAACGTTGGAGCTCCCTATGGGGCCACGAAGCGTGTGGGGGGTGTGCCGGTATGGGCGGGACACCGCATGATAACCTTGCCATTGGGCTTTCCCTACGGGCCGCGATGTGTGTGTGTGTGTGTGTGTGTGTGTGTGTGTGGGTGGGGGGGGGCCGACATGGGCGGGGAACCGCGTGCGAACTTTGCCACTGAGGCCGTCGGTGAGGGGTGTGCCGAAGTGGGCGGGGAACCGCATGCGAGCTTTGCCACTGGGGCCTTCAGTAGCCCCCTGAGGGGCCTCAGGACGTGTGGGGGCGTTCTGAAATGTGCTGGGAACCGCATGCGATCTGTGCCACTGGTGCCTTCGGTGGGACTCCCCATGGGGCCACGAAACGTGTGAGGGGTGTGCCGAAACAGTGGCGCGCGGAGGGGAAAGGCAGGTGATCGGAGGAGGGAGGGCGAGGAGGAGGAAGTAGGAGAGGGGACCGGGGGCGTTGTCTCTTCAAAACGAGGACCCAACACCACATGACGGTCGGGAAACAACTTCGTAGACAACAGACGAGCATTCTAACGCCCGCTCCGTGCAGGCACGGTGGCGGATACTCAACACAGGACCCTCAATGATCTGGAGACACCACGAAGCCCAACAAGCTGGGCCATCATGGGGCGCCCGCAATAAGGCCCCTCCCCATTGCGCACCGGGGCAAGAACCGGACATCCCAACAAACTTGACCATCTTAAGGCACGCTGGACCCCCGTCGGCCACATCGCGCCGCGGGCTTCCTGGGGTTGGCCAGAATCGTCCGTTCTGGCGTCATTTGGCTGGGGGGGAGAGAGGATGACGTCGACGACGTGGAGGCTCATCCGCAGCGACCAGCTCAAGTTTTCGTCACGATTTACCCGCTCTGTTCCGCACGTCGCTTCCGCGAGCCTCCTCTGGCCTTCCTGCGAGCGGCCATGGCGTTCGGCAGCTCCCTCCGATTGCTCCTGCTGCCGATCCCGCTGAGCCTGGGCTTCAACAGGACGGCGACCAAGAGGCAGCTTCGGGGCCTCCTCTCCGAGACGATCTACTGCAACCCCTACCTGCAGCAGATGTGCCCCCCAGGTGACGTGGCGTGCCCGCAGTGCGGTTCGGACAGGTGCGAATGCCCCGGCAGCCCAGGTCCGAGCCCCAGCCCAGACACCACGTGCAGCTGGGAGGAGCACAGGAACAGCGACGGCAACAATTTGCTGCAAGCTCCCTGGTCCCAGGACCCGCAGGCGTGCTGCAACCACTGCGGCGAGCAGTCGGGGTGCGCGGCGTGGACCTTCATTCAGGGCAGCCACGAGTGCTGGTTGAAGAGCTGGGTGCCGTCTATGGAAACCAGTGTCGCGGGGGACGAACTCGGCCATACAGCCGGCCCAATCGGGCGCCGAAGCCTCCAGGCGGCCGTTGATGGCGCCAAGACAACAGTTCGCTCCAGGAGCCCTTGCCTCTCCGAGACGAGGTCTAGTCGTTGCGCTGGGGGGTGTGCTCGAAGTGCGCCGTTACCTGCACGATGTGCCCCCCAGGTGACGTGGCTGTCCCGCAGTGCGGTTTCGGACAGGTGCGGAATGGCCCCGGCAGGCCCAGGTCCGAGCCAGCCCCATCCCAGACACCACAAGTGCAGCTGGGAGGAGCACAGGAACGAGCGGACGGCACGCAAATTTGCCTGCAAGCTCCCTGGTCCCAGGACCCGCAGGCGTGCTGCAGACACTGCGGCCGAGCAGGTCGGGGTGCCGCGGTGTTTTTTATTCATTCAAGGGGCAGCCATCACCTGCTGGTTGAAGAGTTCTGGGTGCCGTCTAGGGAACAGTGGCGCTGGGGGCAGACTCGGCCCATCAGCGGCCCAATCGGGGCGCCGTCAGCCAGGCGGCCCTTGATGCGCGGCAGGCAACAGCTCGGCTCACCAGGGCCTCCTTCCGAGACGTCTAACTGCAACCCCTACCCTAAAATGCAGCAGATGTGGCCCCCCAGGGAGGTGACGTTGGGTTCCCGCAGTGTGGGGTTGCGGTTGAGTGCTAGTCCCGGCAGCCCAGGTCCGAGCCCCAGCCCAGACACCAAGTGCAGCTGGGAGGAGCACCGGAACAGCGACGGCAACAATTTGCTGCAAGCTCCCTGGTCCCAGGACCCGCAGGCGTGCTGCAACCGCTGCGGCGAGCAGTCGGGGTGCGCGGCGTGGACCTTCATTCAGGGCAGCCACGAGTGCTGGTTGAAGAGCTGGGTGCCGTCTAGGGACCAGTGGCGCTGGGACGACTCGGCCATCAGCGGCCAAATCGGGGCGCCGAGCCTCCAGGCGGCCGTTGATGCGCCAAGCAACAGCTCGCTCCAGGGCCTCCTCTCCGAGACGATCTACTGCAACCCCTACCTGCAGCAGATGTGCCCCCCAGGCGACGTGGCGTGCCCGCACTGTGGTTCGGACAGGTGCGAGTGCCCCGGCAGCCCAGGTCCGAGCCCCAGCCCAGACACCAAGTGCAGCTGGGAGGAGCACAGGAACAGCGACGGCAACAATTTGCTGCAAGCTCCCTGGTCCCAGGACCCGCAGGCGTGCTGCAACCACTGCGGCGGGCAGTCGGGGTGCGCGGCGTGGACCTTCATTCAGGGCAGCCACGAGTGCTGGTTGAAGAGCTGGGTGCCGTCTAGGGACCAGTGGCGCTGGGACGACTCGGCCATCAGCGGCCAAATCGGGGCGCCGAGCCTCCAGGCGGCCGCTGCTGCGCCAAGCGACAGTTCGCTCCAGGGCCTCCTCTCCGAGACGATCTACTGCAACCCCTACCTGCAGCAGATGTGCCCCCCAGGTGACGTGGCGTGCCCGCAGTGTGGTTCGGACAGGTGCGAGTGCCCCGGCAGCCCAGGTCCGAGCCCCAGCCCAGACACCAAGTGCAGCTGGGAGGAGCACAGGAACAGCGACGGCAACAATTTGCTGCAAGCTCCCTGGTCCCAGGACCCGCAGGCGTGTTGCAACCGCTGCGGCGAGCAGTCGGGGTGCGCGGCGTGGACCTTCATTCAGGGCAGCCACGAGTGCTGGTTGAAGAGCTGGGTGCCGTCTAGGGACCAGTGGCGCTGGGACGACTCGGCCATCAGCGGCCAAATCGGGGCGCCGAGCCTCCAGGCGCCGTTGATGCGCCAAGCAACAGCTCTCTCCAGGGCCTCCTCTCCGAGACGATCTACTGCAACCCCTACCTGCAGCAGATGTGCCCCCCAGGCGACGTGGCGTGCCCGCAGTGTGGTTCGGACAGGTGCGAGTGCCCCAGCAGCCCAGGTCCGAGCCCCAGCCCAGACACCAAGTGCAGCTGGGAGGAGCACGTGAACAGCGACGGCAACAATTTGCTGCAAGCTCCCTGGTCCCAGGACCCGCAGGCGTGCTGCAACCACTGCGGCGGGCAGTCGGGGTGCGCGGCGTGGACCTTCATTCAGGGCAGCCACGAGTGCTGGTTGAAGAGCTGGGTGCCGTCTAGGGACCAGTGGCGCTGGGACGACTCGGCCATCAGCGGCATACTGGGAGGTCGGTGAGCTTCTGCAGTTTGGGTGTGGCTTGCGCACGCACAATACTGCAACCGTGCTGGTTCATCTGGTCCGACACCGTCTGTTGGCGTGCCAGGCTTGCCAGTGCCAATAGAGCGCTGGAAGTACAGTGTGCATGGTTGAGGAGGCGCTCCGCCGTCTGCGCCCCCCCTCGTTGAAAGTTCCGGTTGCCTTTGGCACGTCTTGCCATTTCCCGCCACGTCGCGTTGACATTGCCATCATCCCATCCAGGACCTATGTTCAGGTTTGTGGAGAGACTTCAAGTTGATGACCACATGGAGGAGCGAAGGGGTCAACAATCGTCAATTGACGCGTCGCGTATCCCCATTCGCCCAGACAGCAGCGATGTCCAGGCGAGTCGCCTTGACCAGGGAGGCGTAGAAGCATGCAGTGCAAGAAAGAAGGAGAAGAAGCCGTCAAAACGAATTTTTGGATCAGCCTGAGCATACCCATGAGTGCACCTAATATGTGTTCGCGGGCCTGTCGAACGAGGGGAAGCAGGGGGACAAGGATAAGGATAACAATACTAATAATCATGGTGATGATGATGATGATGATGATGATGATGATGATGATGATGATGCTGATGATGATGATGATGATGACGATGATGATGATGATGGTGGTGGTGGTGGTGGTGGTGGTGGTGGTGATGATGATGATGATGATGCTGATGCTGATGATACTGATGATGACGATGCAGATTCCAATGATACTGCTGCTAATGATGATGCTGATAGTGAGTATGATGATGAAGATGGTAATGGCGATGGCAATGGCGATGGCAATGGTGATGATGATGCTGATTTTGACGGTGATGATGATGACGACAACGATGATGATGACGATGATGGTAAACATGATGACTAGGACCAGGATGATGAGAATGATGATGATGATGATGATGATGATGATGATGATGATGATGATGATGATGATGATGATGGTGGGGAAGGCGATTGTTCGGATGATGAGGACGATGATCATGATGATGCTGATGCTGTTATTGCTTCTCATGATGATGCTGCTGATTGATGATGGTGATGCTGATGCTGCTGATGATGCTGATGATGGTATCGTCCACGATGGTGCTGAATATGCTGCTGCAGATGATGTTGATCATGATGACGACGGCGATGGTGATGATGATGGCGATGCTGATCATGATGATGGCTATGGCTATGTTGATCATGCGGATTATGGTAAAGACGGTGACGGTGATGATGAGGTTTCTGATGATGCTGATGATGGTGTTGGTGACCCTGATGAGAATGATGATGGTGATCATGACGATAATGGTGTTAAGGAAGAGGAGGAAAATAAGACGGAACGAGGATGAGAAGGATGAACAAGAGGAACCAGGATGGAAAAAGGATCAGGAGGATGAGGAGGACGAGCGGACGGAATATGAGCTTGACATAAAACGCCCCCCACTGAATTTATTTGGACTCTTAGGTGGGAGGAGGAGGAGGAGGAGGAGGAGGAGGAGGAGAGAAAAACGAGGAGGAGGAGGAGGAGGAGAAACCTGTTGGAGGAGGAGGAGGAAAAAGGAGGAGAACGAGGGGGAGTTTGAAGACGAGGATCCGAGAGGAAAAAGGCGACGGCGACGACAACGACGATTCAACCAGAAAAGGCCTTCGCTGATTCAGACCTGTCGTCCTGTTAGCCTCTTGGAGCCCTCTTGGGGCCCTCTGTGGGCTATTTCGAGGTCCGTTGAGGCCATCTTGTGGCTCTCTTGGGGCCGTCTTGGGACCAGCTTGGAAACCATCGATCGAAAAAGGAAAGGTCCTTGTGAACCCTGCCCCCCTGGAGCGCCAACATATCCGCGTGAAGTGGGAGAACATGAAGACATGGAGGAGAAGGCCTCTCAGGGGCTCTCTGGGGGTTTCCCGGGGACCTGCTACGGGCCTCCTTGGGCCTTTTGAGGGCCTGTTTTAGGGGGGCTCTTGGCGCGTGTGACGCCGTCGGAGGCCGTCTTGGGGGCCTCTCTGGGCCCTCTTGATGCCCTCTTGGGGCGCTTTAAGGCCGTCTTGGGGCCCTCATGCGAGACTCTTGGGCGATCTTGGGGTCCTGTTGGGCCGACTTGGGGCCCTCTTTGGGGCTTCATGGGCTGTTTTGGAGCTATATTGGAGGCATCTTGGGCCGGCTTGGATGGTCGGAAACCCAGAGGCGAGAATGTCAACATCATTGAACAATCGAACGGCAATCAATGCTTGTTGCCTCCTCGGGGGCCTCTTGGAGCCTCTGGGGGACGACGTTTTGGGGGAGTATTTTGGGGCCTCTGGCGTCAGGGCCACCGCAGGCGCACCGCCGTCGACGAAGACAAAGAAAAAACGCAAGGGACAGGCAAAGGGGGGAGGAGGACCAGGAGGCCTAAAGGGCACCATAGGACATCGGACGCGGCGGTGGCGGACTCGAAAGCGAGCTGAGGGACGTAAGGAGTGGAAGCGAGCGTGCGCCCGCGGCCGCGTCGGCTCAAGCGGCCGGCCGCCCAAATTTGACTGTGCTTCACCGCGAGGCACACAATCGTTATTGAGACCAAAAGGATCTTCCTATTGCTTGAGATGGCATCTCCTCTCATACTGGGACTATCGTTACTACGGTACAACAGAGCAGGAGTTTGGCTTCGCCTGAGGCGAAGCTGTTGGCTGGGCCTTCCAGCCCCCTTCAAACTTGGTAGCGGAGCTGGCCTATGGTGGTCAGTTCTGACTCTAGTCCTCACCATCCACGGCGCTATCTGGTGGACTACGGATATGGTGGAACATCAGGGTGCAGTGGGATTGCGCGGAGGAGTGTACATAACTACGCAGTACCGCAAGGAAAGTTGCAGCGATACCTCTGTCCCAGCGGAGGTCCCTTACTCACATCTTATATCCCTGCGCTATTTCACTCCTGAAGTCCACCCACCTACTCCGATTGGAAATTTCTTCGAAGATATAATGCATGGAAACATGCGATACGATATACTGCCGCGTCCGAACCCACGCATACTTACGACTACAAAGCATAAGTCCCCACCGACTACACCCGACTACGACCAACGAGGCCACTGGATTGGGGATACTATCTTTGGGCTCATATGTTTTGCTATCTGGTGTGCGGTAGGACATGCGGGGCGGAGACGACACTAGAACGACTGGCCGCCAGTGAGACCCTGCGGGTCAAGTACCATTTCGCGAGTTCGTCCGCGAAGTACATGCCTGGATCAATGTGACCACAGGCAACATGACGCCCTCCCAGCAGGCCGCCGCATTGCAGCGCGATTTTGGAGGTCTCGCGCGGACCATAGCCATGAACGCCCCCCCAACAGTCATTGATTTTGGCGTCAATATAGGCGGTCGCCGCACTGACGGCGTCACCTACATTATGTTCCTCTTAAGTACGAAGTCCGAGAACCTAGAAGTGGAACGCCAACTCAATTCTGGCACGGCTCTCATTGACTTTCGAGTCCATGCGGTTTACGTACCGACCAGACGTTAGCACGGCTCGCAATAGCCCGCTACGAAGCTGAAACCGCTGGCTTCAACATCCCCAACTTCCGAATTTTAACATGTATTCTATTCAGAGCTCTTGGAGTGGGGACGTCGCGTGCGCAGAGACTCCTGCAGCCTCTGAACCACTGCGCGCCGAGGGACCAACCGCAATTTGACGCTCTACTTGAACGTATGAGGTCATATGCTCACATAGCTGAGAGGACCCCTGGCAATATTGGCGGTATCTTTAGCCGCGGTCACCGAACCGAGACTGTCCACGCAGAGGCCAACGCAGGGCAACCTGCCAACAACGTCTGGAATGACGATACACAGCCAACTCAGACCACTACACTGTTGGCTCAGAATGGTGGAACGGCTCCGGGGTCGCAAGTCCCCTGAGCCAGATCTGGGGGGCCGCTCGACTCGGCTTCCCCTATGCAAGCTATGACTCTAATGGGCTCAGCGGTCTTCCGATGATGAAGTTGCCGCCTGGGATTGCGCTGATATGCCTGCATGCCTTACGGAAGAGCAGCAAGCCCAATGTTTATTTTTGGGCTATAAAAAACACAAGCGTCGTTGGCGGAGGTTCATGAAGAAACCAGTCCGAAAGGGGAAGACGTATTGTACGACGGTCACGTAAAGGAATAGGCATGGGTCGAAGTGAAGGTAAAGGTAAGCGTCGGCGACTACATGGTCGAGGCGCACTAGCATTCCTAGTGTCTCTCATTGGACCTCAGCATGAGGAAATGTTTTTAGGTACTGGCAGAGACCGCAGGCATACATCGGGCAAAGGTAAACGACAACGAGGAAACCCAAATGATGCCAACGTTAAAACCATGGAGTGCGACATAGGTCACAGCGCACAACATATCCGACTCGAGTGCCCCCAAGGTGATGGACGAGGCAGGGGTCCGTCAGTGCATCTGGCTCAACCGGACTCCGACATACCGTAGGTTGATTGGGGGTCGCTTCTAGCCGACCTTGCCGACGGCTCAGCCTTGCTTGTTCATTTCATGTCTGCCAGGTATCTAAGTGCCAGCATGACCCTCGAGAAATGCGCCGATGAGCTGTTCGAGGATGTGTTCACTGGACACGGCGACATCGACGTGGCAGAGTGGCTGGGTGTACCCATCGCGGGGCAGCCTGCAGATTGAGTTTGTCGAGGACTTCCAGATGCCCGCGAAGATGATTTTGGCATGGCGGGGACACCCGTGGACTCATATTCTACCACTGTTTCGACAGATGAGGAAACGCATGCAATGCTTTATCATCGGGCAATTGGAAATCCGACATACGCGGAATTAATCGATGATGATCCACTGCGGGGAAGCCCGCGTGACGCTGGTGATCTGTCTGAGCGTGTTCAATATGAGCTTGGGCGTAATGAAGAATGTCAGTGTACTTCTGTTGCGTCAGATCGGTCCGCCAGTAGCCGGAGATGATCGCCGCGCCGCCTACCCTTGATAAGGGAGAGATACCATGACGATACAGGTCTCTCCCCCATGGGCGAGGAGGACGAATGGGGAGACGATGGCCGCGTGATGCGTCGCGGTCGAGCTCCCCGCCCCTCACCAGATCGTGCGCGAGCCCGCTCTAGCGGTGCTCGTTCGAGCGGTGGTCAGCGCCCTCATCCTCCTGATGCGGGGGCCGCGAGGGGCCCGCCACGGCAGGCGACAAGAGCGCATGCACCCCCATGGAAGGACCGTCTGCGGGGAGACCCGCCTCATGATGACCAACATCGAGGAGGAGAATATCCAGGAGGTGAAGTGCAGCGTTTGAGAGGCCACACTGAAGCTGGACTGGCTCGTCAGCACATGCCCGCAAACCAGATGGAATACTGGTTGGAAAGGGGTTGGGCCGAGCGTCGCATCCGGCACTGGTATTCTCTTCGTCAGTGCAAACGAGACGATGCAGGTATTATCATTCGTTCAGAGGCGGGGCAAACCGAATCGCAGGAAAAGATGGTCAAGCGCGATCTCAAAAGGGCCACCATCGAGGATCGAAAGCTCTACAGAGGCGTTTGCTGCACATGCCCCAGTTATGCTGATCACTGGCTCGGCTGCCCCATGAGACGCTCATCAAGAAGCCCGAATTTCAAAAGGACACCGTGGGTTTGGTCTCATGGGGATGGTCGGTCTCGCTGTGCTGACCTCAGCATTGCGCCATATCTTAAGCGGCTGGCGGAAAACGATTCGGACCGGAGAGATAGCTCAGACATATGCCATTTGGCAGAACTTGATACCTACTCACCCTTTGGCGCAGTTCAATCGCGGGCGGCACGCGGGGAGACCTGCTGATCCTAAATCAGATGGTGAAGGCCAACAAAAGCTGGTGAATATGAAGATGATGAAATGGCTGAAGAAGTTGATCCTGTGAACGACGCGCGTGATGCGGATGCTCCGATCGACCCCGAGGGCGCTGTCACAAGAGATATGGATCTATCTCCCGGGAGGCATATTGTTTACCGTGCTCAGTTTATTGGTTGGATAAAGACACGCATCGTCGGACGACGGAACGCCGATAAGTACTTAGTTGCGCAGAAAACAATGCACCTATTAAGAATATGGCCCTCAGGAAGCCAGGTGGCATCGATCTGACTCCTGACCGAGGTCCTATGCGATTTGCACTTGGGGCGCCGGCAGGAGCTACGGCAAAGGCAACTCCCACGCCGAAGCCAGGGATGATCGATCTTCCCTCGTCTTCTGATTCATCATGCCAATCTTTTGGCCCTGGTCATCTTCAGCTCAAGGGAAAGAAGAGGTGGGGCCCAGATGATCCCAACCCTGGGGGCAGCAAGCAGCAACGACATGCGGGGCAACCTGCTGATCGACAGCATTCCAGAGGGCCAGCAGCGGCCGCCGCAGCAGCTAGAATTCAGGGCACCAGTACGCCTACTCCAAAAGAACTTGTGCCACGTCGCGGCCCTGCACCACGTCGGACGCACGGGGCAGGGTGGGCGCCTGCGCTGGAAGGGAGGACACGGGGCGCTTCCTCCACGCAACGCACTGAGGAGCTACTTGCTACCACGCCAAAGGTGCCAGGAGCAGTGCCCAGAGATAAGACTGCCGAGTCCTACAACATCCAGGAGAAGAAGCACCAGGACTTCGATATCAGTACCCCGCAAGGAACTCCAAGGACGCCCAGAGGATCTGTGGGCGCTACCGCATCGGCAGCGAGCGCAGCAGCGCCTGCCGCGCCAATGGCTGCCCCACGTTCTGCGGGGCAACCTGCTCAGATTTCTGCGGGGCAACCTGCCCAGAGCTCAGCGGGGCGTTGGAGGTACCTCCGGAATGTGAGGAGTTCTGGGACAGGATGCGCACTTCCCACCGCACGAAGATCAATCCAGCGTATCACCCGCGGATTGACGATGGATATGATCGATGCATGGTGGTGCAGTGCGTCGTCATGGACATTTGTGTCCATGCTGACCAAGGTGCACGCACGCGCCAAACAGTGCGCAACATCCCGCAGAAACGCCCAGCGTTCGACGAAACAAAATACCCGAAAAAAATCAAAACATCGTCCAAAGATAGTCGAGGGATTATTTTTGGAGTATGTTTTGATCATTTTGGGGCATACATTTTCATCTTTCGCCCAAAATGCCCCTGTAGGGGGACAGGCCCGACTTAAGCGAAAGCCTCAGTTCCCCGACTTCTGCAGAAGCCAGGGCGGAAGTGCGTCTCGCCATTTTCGGCGGCCGTCGGCATCGGTGAACCGACCCCCCTCCCCATCGCCCTCCCCTTCGAGACCCCCGCCAAATCCCCTCCCCACGTTGGGGATGCGCCCCTCGAAAGCCGAAGCCGGGCCGCGCCGCTGGGGATGGGGATCGGTTGAGCGATACTCGATCCGGGTGCTGCCCTCGGGCTCCGAGGCTAACACAAAAACGACCCGGGGCGAAACGCCGCCCCCCGAAAAGACGTCGAGGGGGTGCGGGGTTCGCATCTCGGGGGCCGTTCGGGCCCCCTCAGGGCTCTCTTGGCGCCCTCCCTGCGGCCTGGCATGACTCTCTTGTGACCGGGCTGGCAAACATCGATCAAAAAAGTTGAGGTCCTGCAGGGTCCGGCTTGACTAAGGAACGCGTGCTTTTCGAAAAGGGGCTCGATCGTACCTCGGGTTTGCATGCGTTCTGCTACCTTTTTGGCGGCGGCCCCCCCCTGGTGTTTCTTCGGACTCCGTAGACTTACTTTGAACAAAAGCGGCCTCGTTTCTTATTTATCGTTCCTTAGGTCAGGCCGAATCCTGTAGTTAACGCTGCCCCCCTGGAGCGCAAACATCCCCGCGTGGAGCGGGGGAGAATGAAGACAAAGAGGCGAATGCCTCTCAGGGGCTCTGTTGGGGTTTCCTGGGGACCTGTTGGGGGCCTGTGGAGGGGCCGCGCGGAGGCCCACGCGGGCCCTCGTAGGGGGCCTCTTGGGGGCCTCCGGGGCAGTCTTCGGGGGGCTGCTGGCCCGCGTGACGCCGTCGGATGCCGCCTTGGGGGCCCCGCTGGGCTGTGCTGGTGCCCTCTTGGCACGCATTAGGTGGGACGCACAGAGACATACTGATACGATATGTCCTCCTTGGAGGCGCGCGTCCGACCCGAATATATATATATATATATATATATATACATAATGCCCATATTGTAGAATACCGTTTCGCGAGCGGTGCGGCCAGAAAGTGCCCGCCACGACGCATATACGCAGCACCCCGCAGTTGCGGATAAGAGTGAGGGGCAGCGGGGACGTCGGCAGTATGCGAGGCTTTGCAGAAGCCTGCCGCAGGCGCAATATTTTCAAGCTAAACAACGAGCCCGCCTCATGCGCCGATTTTTTGTTAAAAACATTGTCGTTTTTTTGTTCTCCCCTTCTTGGCGTTTTTTTTTCTCCCCCTTCTCCCCCCCCAAAGAGGCGCCACAGGAGGAATGTGCACAACTGCCGTCCACGAGGGGGGGGAGGGAGTTCCGTCCCTTCTCCGCCGCCTCCTCCTGTCCTTTACTCCCTCCCCTTCTCTGTCTCAGTACTCCCCTCGTCGTCCCCTCCCTCGCCTCTCCTCTCCTCGTCGCTCCCTCCTCCTTCGCCTTTCCCCTTCCTTTCCGCGCCCCCGCAAAAACGCCACCCCAGAATCACCCGTACTGGCCACTTGAGGTTTCTTGGGCCGTCTTAGGGGTTTCTTGGCCTTTCCTCTGACGCCTTCGGATATCGTCTTGGTTGGGGGCATGTCTGGCCCTCTTGGCGCCCTCTTAGGGACCTTTACGACCCTCTCGGTAGACTCCCGCGCGATCTTTGGGCCCTCTGGGGCCGATTCGGGGCCTTGTTGGGGTGCGTCCTGGGCTATATTGGAGCTATCTTGAGAGCCTCTTGGATGCCTCTTGGGCCGTCTTGGGCGGTCGAATCTCCAGACAGGCGAGAGCCTCAACATCTATCAATGATCCGGGCGAAGGTCAACCCTATGCACTTGTGGGTGCCGCGTTGTGGCACCGCTTTCGGTGGAGCTCCCTCTGAGGCCACGAGGCGTGCTAGGAGTGTGCCGAAATGGGCGGGGAACCGCATGCGAACCCCGCCACTGATGCAAACGTTGGAGCTCCCTATGGGGCCACGAAGTGTGTGAGGGGTGTGCCGGTATGGGCGGGAAACTTCATGATAACTTTGCCACTGGGCTTTCGGTGGGGCTCCCTACGGGGCCGCGAAGCGTGTGGGGTGTGTGCCGACATGGGCGGGGAACCGCGTGCGAACTTTGCCACTGAGGTCGTCGGTGAGGGGTGTGCCGAAGTGGGCGGGGAACCGCATGCGAGCTTTGCCACTGGGGCCTTCAGTAGCCCCCCGTGGGGCCTCGGGACGTGTGGGGGTGTACTGAAATGTGCTGGGAACCGCATGCGATCTGTGCCACGGGTGCCTTCGGTGGGGCTCCCTATGGGGCCACGAAGCGTGTGAGGGGTGTGCCGAAACAGTGGCGCGCGGAGGGGAAAGGCAGGGGATCGGAGGAGGGAGGGCGAGGAGGAGGAAGGAGGAGAGGGGACCGGGGGCGGTGTCTCTTCAAAACGAAGACCCAGCACCACATGATGGTCGGGAAACAACTTCGTAGACAACAGGCGAGCATTCTAACGCCCACTCCGTGCAGGCACGGTGGCGGATACTCAACACAGGACCCTCAATGATCTGGGGACCCAACAGAGCCCAACAAGCTGGGCCATCATGGGGCGCCCGCAATAAGGTCCCTCCCCATTGCGCACCAGGGCAAGAACCAGACATCCCAACAAACTTGACCATCTTAAGGCACGCTGGACCCCCGTTGGCCACATCGCGCCGCGGGCTTCCTGGGGTTGGCCAGAATCGTCCGTTCTGGCGTCATTTGGCTGGGGGGGAAGAGAGGATGACGTCGACGACGTGGAGGCTCATCCGCAGCGACCAGCTCAAGTTTTCGTCACGATTTACCCGCTCTGTTCCGCACGTCGCTTCCGCGAGCCTCCTCTGGCCTTCCTGCGATCGGCCATGGCGTTCGGCAGCTCCCTCCGATTGCTCCTGCTGCAGATCCCGCTGAGCCTGGGCTTCAACAGGACGGCGCCCAAGAGGCAGCTTCGGGGCCTCCTCTCCGACACGATCTACTGCAACCCTTACCTGCAGCAGATGTGCCCCCCAGGTGACGTGGCGTGCCCGCAGTGTGGTTCGGACAGGTGCGAGTGCCCCGGCAGCCCAGGTCCGAGCCCCAGCCCAGACACCAAGTGCAGCTGGGAGGAGCACGTGAACAGCGACGGCAACAATTTGCTGCAAGCTCCCTGGTCCCAGGACCCGCAGGCGTGCTGCAACCACTGCGGCGAGCAGTCGGGGTGCGTGGCGTGGACCTTCATTCAGGGCAGCCACGAGTGCTGGTTGAAGAGCTGGGTGCCGTCTAGGGACCAGTGGCGCTGGGACGACTCGGCCATCAGCGGCCAAATCGGGGCGCCGAGCCTCCAGGCGGCCGTTGATGCGCCAAGCAACATTCGCTCCAGGGCCTCCTCTCCGAGACGATCTACTGCAACCCCTACCTGCAGCAGATGTGCCCCCCAGGCGACGTGGCGTGCCCGCAGTGTGGTTCGGACAGGTGCGAGTGCCCCGGCAGCCCAGGTCCGAGCCCCAGCCCAGACACCAAGTGCAGCTGGGAGGAGCACAGTGAACAGCGACGGCAACAATTTGCTGCAAGCTCCCTGGTCCCAGGACCCGCAGGCGTGCTGCAACCACTGCGGCGAGCAGTCGGGGTGCGTGGCGTGGACCTTCATTCAGGGCAGCCACGAGTGCTGGTTGAAGAGCTGGGTGCCGTCTAGGGACCAGTGGCGCTGGGACGACTCGGCCATCAGCGGCCAAATCGGGGCGCCGAGCCTCCAGGCGGCCCTTGATGCGCCAAGCAACAATCGCTCCAGGGCCTCCTCTCCGAGACGATCTACTGCAACCCCTACCTGCAGCAGATGTGCCCCCCAGGTGACGTGGCGTGCCCGCAGTGTGGTTCGGACAGGTGCGAGTGCCCCGGCAGCCCAGGTCCGAGCCCCAGCCCAGACACCAAGTGCAGCTGGGAGGAGCACGGAACAGCGACGGCAACAATTTGCTGCAAGCTCCCTGGTCCCAGGACCCGCAGGCGTGCTGCAACCACTGCGGCGAGCAGTCGGGGTGCGCGGCGTGGACCTTCATTCAGGGCAGCCACGAGTGCTGGTTGAAGAGCTGGGTGCCGTCTAGGGACCAGTGGCGCTGGGACGACTCGGCCATCAGCGGCCAAATCGGGGCGCCGAGCCTCCAGGCGGCCGTTGATGCGCCAAGCAACAGCTTCGCTCCAGGGCCTCCTCTCCGAGACGATCTACTGCAACCCCTACCTGCAGCAGATGTGCCCCCCAGGCGACGTGGCGTGCCCGCAGTGTGGTTCGGACAGGTGCGAGTGCCCCGGCAGCCCAGGTCCGAGCCCCAGCCCAGACACCAAGTGCAGCTGGGAGGAGCACGTGAACAGCGACGGCAACAATTTGCTGCAAGCTCCCTGGTCCCAGGACCCGCAGGCGTGCTGCAACCACTGCGGCGAGCAGTCGGGGTGCGTGGCGTGGACCTTCATTCAGGGCAGCCACGAGTGCTGGTTGAAGAGCTGGGTGCCGTCTAGGGACCAGTGGCGCTGGGACGACTCGGCCATCAGCGGCCAAATCGGGGCGCCGAGCCTCCAGGCGGCCGTTGATGCGCCAAGCAACAGTTCGCTCCAGGGCCTCCTCTCCGAGACGATCTACTGCAACCCCTACCTGCAGCAGATGTGCCCCCCTGGCGACGTGGCGTGCCCGCAGTGTGGTTCGGACAGGTGCGAGTGCCCCGGCAGTCCAGGTCCGAGCCCCAGCCCAGACACCAAGTGCAGCTGGGAGGAACACGTGAACAGCGACGGCAACAATTTGCTGCAAGCTCCCTGGTCCCAGGACCCGCAGGCGTGCTGCAACCACTGCGGCGAGCAGTCGGGGTGCGCGGCGTGGACCTTCATTCAGGGCAGCCACGAGTGCTGGTTGAAGAGCTGGGTGCCGTCCAGGGACCAGTGGCGCTGGGACGACTCGGCCGTCAGCGGCAGACTGGGAGGTCGGTGAGCTTCTGCAGTTTGGGCGCGGCCTGCGCACAATACTGCAACCGTGCTGGTTCATCTGGTCCGACACCGTCTGTTGGCGTGCCAGGCTTGCCAGTGCCAATAGAGCGCTGGAAGTACAGTGTGCATGTTTGAGGAAGCGCTCCGCCGTCTGAGCCCCCCCTCGTTGAAAGTCCCGGTTGCCTTTGGCACGTCTTGCCATTTCGCGCCACGTCGCGTTGACATTGCCATCTTCCCATCCAGGACCTATGTCCAGATTTGTGGAGAGGCTTCAAGTTGATGACCACATGGAGGAGCGAAGAGGTCAACAATCGTCAATTGACGCCATTCGCCCAGACAGCAGCGATGGCCAGGCGAGTCGCCTTGACCAGGGAGGCGTAGAAGCATGCAGTGCACGAAAGAAGGAGAAGAAGCCGTCAAAACAAATGTGTGGATCAGCCTGAGCATAACCATGAGTGCACCTAATATGTGTTCGCGGGCCTGTCGAACGAGGGGTAGGAGGGGGACAAGGATAAGGATACTGATGATGATGATGACGATGATGATGATGACGATACTGATGATGGCGATGATGATTCCAATGATACTGCTGCTAATGATGATGCTGATAGTGAGTGTGATGATGAGTATGGCAATGGCGATGGCGATGGTGATGATGATGCTGATTTTGACGGCGATGATGCTGACGATAACGATGATGATGACGATGCTGGTAACTATGATGACTAGGACGAGGATGATGATGATGATGATGGTGGGGAAGGCGATTGTTCGGATGATGAGGACGATGATCATGATGATGCTGATGCCGTCGTTGCTCCTTATGATGCTGCTGCTGATTCATGATGATGATGCTGATGCCGTCGTTGCTCCTTATGATGCTGCTGCTGATTCATGATGATGATGCTGATGCTGTTGATGCTGCTGATGATGGTGTCGTCCACGATGGTGCTGAAGATGCTGCTGTCCATGAGGTTGATCATGATGACGACGGCGGCGGTGATGATGATGGCGATGATGTTCATGATGATGGTGATGGCTATGTTGATGATGCGGATTATGATAAAGACGGTGACGGTGATGATGAGGTTTCTGATGATGCTGATGATGGTGTTGGTGACCCTGATGATGATGATGATGATGATGATGATGGTGATCATTATGATAATGGTGTTAAGGAAGAGGAAGAGGAAGAGGAAGATAATACGGAACGAGGATGAGAAGGATGAACAGGAGGAACCAGGATGGAGAAATGATCAGGAGGATGAGGAGGACGAGCAGACGGAATATGAGTTTGACAGAAAACGCCCCCCACTGAATTCATTTTGACTCTTAGGTGGGAGGAGGAGGAGGAGGATGACGAGGAGGAGGAGGAGGAGAGAGAGAGAGAGAGAAAGCCGACGAGGAGGAGGAGGAGGAGAAACCAGTTGGAGGAGGAGGAGGAAAAAGAAGGAGAAGGAGGAGGAGGAGTTGGAAGACGAGGATCCGAGAGGAAAAAGGCGACGGCGACGACGACGATTCAACCAGAAAAGGCCTTCGCTGATGCAGACCCTTCGTCCTGTTAGCCTCTTGGAGCCCTCTTGGGGCCCTCTGTGGGCTATTTCGAGGTCCGTTGAGGCCATCTTGTGGCTCTCTTGGGGCCGTCTTGGGACCAACTTGGAAACCATCGATCAAAAAAGGAGAGGTCCTTGTGAACCCTGCCCCAACGGAGCGCCAACATATCCGCGTGAAGCGGGAGAACATGAAGACAAGGAGGAAAAGGCCTCTCAGGGGCTCTCTGGGGGTTTCCCGGGGACCTGCTACGGGCTTCCTTGGGCCTGTTTGAGGGCCTTTTGGGAGCCTCTTGGGACCTCCTGGGCAGTCTTAGGGGGGCTCTTGGCGCGTGTGACGCCGTCGGAGGCCGTCTTGGGGTCCTCTCTGGGCCCTCTTGATGCCCCCTTGGAGCGCTTTAAGGTCGTCTTGGGGCCTTTATGCAAGACTCTTGGGCGATCTTGGGGTCCTGTTGGGCCGACTTGGGGCCCTCTTTGGGGGCTTCATGGGTTGTTTTGGAGCTATATTGGAGGCATCTTGGGCCAGCTTGGATGGTCGGAAACCCAGAAGCGAGAATTTCAACATCATTGAACAATCGAACGGCAATCAATGCTTGTTGCCTCCTCGGGGGCCTCTTGGAGCTTCTGGGGGACGACGTCTTGGGGGAGTATTTTGGGGCTTCTGGCGTCAGGGCCACCGCAGGCGCGCCGCCGTCGACGAAGACAAAGAAAAAACGCAAGGGACAGGCAACGGGGGGAGGAGGACCAGGAGGCCTAAGGGGCACCATAGGACATCGGACGCGGCGGCGGCGGACTTTAAAGCGAGCTGAGGGTCGTAAGGAGTGGAAGCGAGCGTGCGCCCGCGCCCGCGTCGGCTCAAGCGGCCGGCCGCCCAAATTTGACCGTGCCTCACCGCGAGGCACACAATCGCTATCGAGACCAAAAGGGATTTTCCTATTGCTTGAGATGGCATCTCCTCTCATACTGGGACTATCGTTACTACGGTACAACAGAGCTGGAGCTTGGCTTCGCCTGAGGCGAAGCTGTTGGCTGGGCCTTCCAGCCACCTTCAAACTTGGTAGCGGAGCTGGCCTATGGTGGTCAGCTCTGGCTCTACTCCTCACCATCCACGGCACGATCTGGTGGACTATGGATATGGTGGAACATCAGGGTGCAGTGGGATTGCGCGGAGGAGCGTACATAACTACGCAGCACCGCAAGGCAACTTGCAGCGATACCTCTGGCCAAGCGGAGGTCCCGTACTCACATCTTACATCCCTGCGTTATTACACTCCTGAAGTCCACCCACCTACTCCAATCGGAAATTTCTTCGAATACTTAATGCATGGAAACATGGGATACGATATACTGCCGCCTCCGACCCCGCGCAGACTTACGACTACAAAACATAGTCCCCACCGACTACACCCGACTACGACCTACGAGGCCACTGGATTGGGGTCATTATCTTTGGGCTCTTATGGGTTGCTTTTGGGTGTGCGGTAGGACATGCGGGGCGGAGACGACACTAGAACGACTGGCCGCCATTGGGACCCTGCCGGTGACGTACAATTTCGCGAGTTCGTCCGCGAAGTACATGCCCGGATCAATGGGGCCACAGGCAACATGACGCCCTCCCAGCAGGCCGCCGCATTGCACCGCGGTTTGGGAGGTCGCGCACGGACCATAGCCACGAGCGCCCCCCCAACAGTCATTAATTTTGGCGTCAATATAGGCGGTCGCCACACTGACGGCGCCACCTACATGATGTTCTTCTTAAGTACGAAGTTCGAGAACCTAGAAGAGGAAAGCCAACTCAACTTTGGCACGGCTCTCATTGACTTTCGAGTCCATGCGGGTGAACGTATCGACCAGACTTCAGCACGGTTCGAAATAGCCCGCTACGAAGCTGAAACCGCCAGTTTCCACATCCCCAATTTCGAAATACTAACAGCAATTCTATTCAGAGCTTTTGGAGTGGGGACGTCGCGTGCACAACAACTCCTGCAGCCTTTGAACCACCACAGGCCGAGGGGCCAGCCACAGTTTGACGCTCTACTTGAACTATGAGGTCATGTGCTCACATAGCTGAGAGGACCCCTGGCAATATTGGTGGCATCTTTAGCCACGGCCACCGAACCGAGACTTCCCACGCAGAGGCCAACGCAGGGCAACCTGCCAACAACGTCTGGAATGACGATAACAGCCAAGTCAGACCACTACACTGTTGGCTCGGAATGGTGGAGCGGCTCCGGGGTCGCAAGGCCCCTGGGCCAGATCTGGGGGGCCGCTCGACTCGGCCCCCCCTATGCAAGCTATGACCGAATGGGCTCAGCGGGGCAACCCGCCGAGTCCGACTTCGACTCCGATGCCGATGCGGATGCGTCTTCCGATGATGAAGCCACCGCCTTGGATTACTCTGATATGCCTACATGCCATACGGAAGAGCAGCAAGCTCAATGGTTACTTTTGGTCCATCAAAAACGCAAGCGTCGTTGGCGGAGGTCCATGAAGAAACCAGTCCGAAGGGCAAGACGTATTGCACGGCGTTCACGTAAAGGAGAAGGCAAGGGTCGAAGTAAAGGCGCGGGTAAGCGTCGGCGACTACATGGTAGAGGCATACTCGCACTCTTAGCATGAGGAAATGTTTTAGGTGCTGGCAGAAGCCGCAGGCATGCATCAGGCAAAGGTAAAGGACGACGAGGAAACCCAAAGGATGCCAACGGTAAAACCATGGAGTGCGACATATGTCACAGTGCACAACATTCCCGACGCGAGTGCCCCAAGGTGATGGAAGAGGCAGGTGTCCGTCAACACATCTGGCTCAAACGGGCTCCGACCTGCAGTATGTTGATTGGCAGTCGCTTCTAGCCGACCCTGCCGACGGCTCAGCCATACTTCTTCATTTCGTGGCTGCCAGGCATCTTAGTGCCGGCGTGACCCTCGATAATTACGCCGATGAGCTGTTCAAGGATGTGTTCACTGGCCGCGGCGACATCGACTTGGCAGAGTGGCTGGGTGCACCCATCGCGGGGCAACCTGCAGATATTGCGTCTGTCGAGAACTTCCACATGCCCGTCGAAGTTGGTTTGGCACGGCGGGGGCACCCGCGGACTCAGTTTCTAACATTCCTTCAACAAATGAGGAAACACATGCGATGCTTTATCATCGGGTAGGTGGAAATCTGACGAACGCGGAATTAATCGATGATGATCCACTACGGAGAAGCCCGCGCGACATTGGTGATCTATCTGGGCGTATTCAACATGAGCTTGGGCATAATGAAGAATTTCAGTATTCTTTTGTTGCGTCAGATCGGCCCGCCAGCAGCCCGAGACGATCGCCGATCCGCCTGCCCTTGATGAGGAAGAGATATCATGACGACCCAAGTCTCTCCCCAATGGACGAGGAGTACGAACGGGGAAACGATGGCCGCGCGATGCGTCGCGGTCGAGCTCCTAGTCCCTCGCCGGATCGTGCGCGAGCCCGCTCTAGCGGTGCTCGTTCGAGCGGTGGTCAGCGCCCTCATCCTCCTGATGCGAGGGCCACAGGGGGCCCGCCGTGGCAGGCGACGCGAGCGCATGCCCCCCCCCCCCCCCCCTGGAAGGACCGCCTGCAGGGAAACCCGCCTCAAGATGGCCAACGTCGAGGGGGGGGATATCCAGGAGGTGAAGTGCAGCGTTTGAAAGGCCACGCGGAAGCTGGATTGGCTCGCCAGCGCGTGCCCGCAAACCAGATGGAATACTGGTTGGAAAGGGGTTGTGCTGAGCATCAAATCCGGCGCTGGTATTCTCTTCGCCAGTGCAAGCGAGATGACGCAGGCAATGCCGTTCGTTCAAAGGCGGGGCAAACCAAATCGCATGAGAAGATCTGTCAAGCGCGATCTCAAAAGGGCCACCA